CACCAAGGTAAACTCCTCTATTGTTCTGACTAAATGCTACTATCTACTGTAATAATACTGCCTTTGGGACTCTCAGGCAGAGCTACACAAAAACAACAGTCATTATGCCAATGAAAATAAACAACGCGACACACTTACAGCTCTGTAATCCAAGAACATTTCTTTGAAAGCCAGAAAGTCAGTAAACGTGAGAAGCATATCAAATATATCACCTGCCATTTCATCTTTGTGCTGTCTGTAGAGAGAAGTTGGGACATTAGAAAACCATGCAGTAAATAAACTCTTATTTTAAAATGGTACGAGGTCAAAAGGATAGTGGGACAAGTAGAACAATATCTAAATTTAAACAAGAATGTTATCATGAGTCTTTTGTAAAGCAAAACTTTAGCCAAATATTACCTTGTAGTATTCCCAATCCAAGTACATTATTATATTTATGTAAATCCAAGATGTAAGAATATCACATCAGTCCTTGAAAACCAGACAAAAAAAACCTGACCTGTAAGTCAACAGAAACGACACTCCACTAGCATGTATCTATTTTATCTTAAATATTATCTATTTACTTATCTTGAGCACTGAAACAGCTAGACAGTCCCTTGGCAGCTGAGAAAGGTTGGGGAGAGGCACAGAATGCTCACACATATGCCTTACAAATGAGGGACTGTACTGACAATACTCGGTAGAGGACTTTTGATGAAAACATTTTGGAAGAAAGACTCTCTGCTCCCACACCGGCAGATTTCAACAAGACTTTCTTAACAGGCAAGGGTTGGGTTGTTCAGTTTTTGTTTGTTTGTTGGGTTTTTTTTAATTCTTTAATTCTTACCAGAAGGAGCTTTATCTTTTAAGCGTACTATATGTATTCACAATAACTTCAAATGTTTTATGTTAAAAAAAAAGAGATTCAAATATTGTAAGATATTGCACTGCCAATTAGACCTGATTTTCTTATTCAAGGGGAAAACCAGGGAACTTTCAAACGTGAGCTCTTCATGAAGCTGGTTTAAGCTAAAGTGACCAAATGCAAAAGCTTAAGAGAAACCAAAGTTTTCTCTGAATGCTTTTTACAAAAATTGCAGTAAAGACATTATATCACATGACTGTTGAAGGACTAACAGGCTATTGAAGTGTCTAACACAGAATCTGAAAGAGATAAACGAGACCCAACCTTTTAAGGGTCTGGCTTCAAAGTGACAATGGATGGAGAAACCCTTTCAGTGTTCTCCTTCTGATTTCTCTTCCTACCCCTTAACCCAAATAAATTTCAGCATGGCAGCTCAGAAATTCAGAGTTGGACAACATGCTGAAGGAAAGAAATGTGGTCAGTCACTGCACGCATGAACACTCTTTTTTTAATTAAAGAGGAATCTCTTTCTAAAGGGAGAACTGTCAAACCTACAGTTTAATCTACATAAAGAGAGTTAATTGAGAAGCACATAACCTGCCCCCCAACCAAAAGTAAAGCAGAGACTTACTGCAGTGACATGGTGAAAGCAGTCATATTAAAACCAGGAATCCGATCAAGCAATTTTTCTTCGACGTATTTCTCTACTAAAGAGATCTGAAAAAAACCCAAACAAACCACCCCTATAATACTGTCACAGAATTCAGGAGCAGACTTCAAAACAGTGCTTCCTCCTTACACTGATATCTTTGTATTATCCTCACCGGGCAAACAACTGCGGATTCCTTAGCTCGGTGATGCTAAGTTCAATTATTCACATCACCACTGAGCTGAACATTTTTGCTGGGAATACAGATAAGAAAAAACCATCTGGAGAAGTTTCCAAGTGAAACAAAGAGAAAGGAACCTAGAGCTCCAGAAAACATCTTTCTTGCTCACAGATCATGAAAAAGACGGCATGCAGGACAGCAGGTGTCATGTTGGCTCTGCTCCATGTAAAGCCAGTATTTTATAAAGGGGGAATACAGGACCTGACATTGGCCTTAAAAAACAAAACAAACCAAAAAAGCAATACACGTTGTCCTGGTTTTTAGTTGGGCCAGAGCTGGTTCTGTTCAGCAGCGGGAACAGCGCTGGGATTTGGGTTCAGCTGGGATTTGTCAGGAGAGAAACGCTGAGAACATCCCCATGTTGCATTTGTGTCCCTGGCACTGAAGGACTTTGTGTTTGTCCGTCTGCAAGCGCCAGATCTCAGGGGGGAGGAATATTGACATGGATCAGTTCCATGGGCATTGGGCTCTGCCAAGGGGCTGTTCCATCTCCTGTCCCCCATGGGCAGGAGATCCATGAGGGGCTCTTCCTCTCTTGCTCTCTCTGGCTTTCGCTCGGGCTCTGGCTCTCCTGGGATTGCAGTTTCAGTTCGGGATTGTCGCTCCTACGGGATCGTGATCTGGGAACGGGCCGGGCTCGGTCAGTGGGTGGTGAGCAATGGCACTGGGGGTCACTCATTTGTGTATTTTATTACCATTATTACTAGCATAACTATTTTAATATTGGTATTATTTTAAGTTTTCTTTCATTTAAATTATTAAATTGTTCTCATCTCACCCTGCGAGTCTCCTTACCCTTGCCCCCCAATTCTCTCCCCTATCCTCTGAGGGTAGGGGACAGTGAGTGAATGGCTGTGCTGTTTACGGGCCAAGGCCCAGCCCAGTGAAACCATCACACATAAAAAATAGGGAAAAGTATCTTACATATTCATTAAAAATAGAAGTATAGATGAGCTTGTTTTCTTCTGAGTCATCAAACTCCTGGTAGTGCTTCTCCATAAAAGTCCTCTGTATCAACTGGAAATCATCATCTGGGCCACAACAAAAATGGATCATACCGTTAGGAGTTCAGTCATTCTTTCTGTAACACAAACCCCCCATTCACTAGTCCTCCGCTCCCCTCTTGTAACCACGGAGCCCTGCACACGTGCAAAGTCAGTCACACCAGTACTGCAGCAGCTGCAAAGCCACCATTCCTGACCCATCTGGGAGAAGACAGAGGCTGCTGTGGAGGGCAGCAGCACATCAGGCTGCACTTTGACAGCAGCTGTGTATTTAGAATACAATGGGATTAACATTTCTACCGAGCAAGGTCTACAATTACTTCTTATAAGTTTCATTTACACTCAGTATTAGCATAAAAAGTTGTCCTGCTTTATGTTTTATTGATAAAGTTACTTATTCTGAACCCCTTTTTATTCAGGCTCTCCAATTAGCAAAACACCTGTATTTTTTTTATGAAGTGAACACCTCTTCCCTACAATAATTATTTTTTTTTTCCCCTTGAATTAAAAAATATTAGTGAAGCTCCCAGATTAATTTTCAACTGCTGAAGATTTTTTTTCCATTTGTTGAATCCCAGAATTGCCTGGATTGGAAAAGACCTTTAAGCTCATCGAGTCCCACCATGAACCCAACACTGACAAGTCCCCGACTAACCCATGTCCCTCAGCACTATGTCTACACGACTCTTCAATCCCTCCAGGGATGGGGACTCCACCACTGCCCTGGGCAACCCCTTCCAATGCCTCGGAACCCTTTCAGCAAAGAAATTCTTCCTCACATCCCATCTCAACTGCCCTGGCCACAACTTGAGGCCATTTCCTCTTGTCCTGTCCCTTGGTCCTTGGTTGAACAGACCCACCCCCACCTCTCTCCACCCTCCTCCAAGGGACTTGGACAGAGCAAGGAAAGAAGAATAAAAATTAACACTGTAGGTCACCACTGAATTCAAGAGAACAAGAACACATATAAGCTTTACTTATACACAGTGTTAAAATACACCAGTCCCAGCTTTCTAAGCCCTAACACGTTACAGTTTAGTCAGCATTTCTCCAGATTCAACTACATCACCAGGCAAACGAGGCTGCAGAATCTACATCTCTCTGGGAAGGATGTGGTTAAAAAGATTAGATGCTGTTCTCATGAAGCAGCTGAGGGCTGCTTAGCATAAATTCTGTCTTGGCTGCTTGTAAACTACTTCCTTGCACACACTGACTTACTTCTCAGTGGTCCTGAGAATTTAGCAACTTCAATTGCCATGAGATTGACACCATTCCACTTCCCCGCTATGAACAGGTCCCTCAGGTTACAGCTGTGCGCGTACGTGCAAGTTACACCCGAGAAAATCAACTCACAAGGATCATCTCAAAAAGTGAAAGTGGCAAGACATGATGACACCCATCTCCAGTTATGCAATGCTGCTGCAGAAACAGGAAATCTACTGTCCTCCTTGTTCAGCAGAGACAGGACAAGGAACAGCACAGGGGACAAAAGGCTGCCTGCAGCAGCAACAGCTCGGCACTACAGCAAATCGCCCAGACAAACCAAGGCAGCTTCTAAGAATATCCTGATATCCTGGTTTTTAGCTGGGACAGAGCTGGGTTTCTTTTTCAGTAGCTAGAATTGTGCTGTGTTTTGCTTTTCAACCTGGGACTTGTTATGACAGAGACACTGAGAACATCCCAATGTTTACATTTTTGTCACTGGAAGCGAAGGACTTTGTGATCTGTTAGTCCACAAGCACAAGATTTAAGGGGGCTGAGGAATATTTAAATTAATAAGCTAAATTGACAGTTAGATATGCCAATGGGATATTCCATATCATATCATATCATATATCATATCATATCATATATCATATCATATCATGCCCACTATATTAGTGAGGGGCTCTTCCTCTCTTGCTCTCTCTGGCTTTGGCTCGGGCTCTGGCTCTCCCGGGATTGCGGTTTCGGGTCGGGATTGTCGCTCCTCCGGGATCGTGATCTGGGAACGGGCCGGGCTCGGTCAGCGGGTGGTGAGCAATGGCACTGGGTGTCACTCATTTGCATATTTTGTTACTTTTATCATTATCACTACTATTTTAATATTAGTATTATCTTAAGCTTTATTTCTATTATTAAATTGTTCTTATCTCACCCTACAAGCCTCCTTCCACTTGCTCCCCAATCCTCTCCCCTGTCCCATGGAGTTGGGGGCAGTGGGTGAACGGTTGTGTTGGCTGCAGCCAAGGGCCAGCCCAGTGAAACCATCACATTAGGAGAGGTTTAGGCAGCGCTGGAGAAGGGAAGGCCACCTCTCACAATCCCTTCCATCCCCTTTTATAAGGGGTTATAAAAATCCTGGAAGGCTTTGATTTCCATGTGAGATTTACAGGGATCTTTACTATTTAAGAAGCATTGTATCACAGTGATGCAGGGAAGAATTTTCAAGGCTCAAAAGCACACTGTTGTGCAAACTGCGCGCAAAATACTTCTGGTTATGTTTTTACTGTGCTACCAGGTTAGGGGGCATGGCAACAAAGGAAGGAAAGCTCCTTCTGGTTTTTTTTTATTGTCTTTATTTTACCTGTCTGTCTGCTAACAGAAGAGCAGCTTGAAGCACGTTTAGCGCTCATCTTCTTGTCTCTAACTATTTGCAGAGCTTACCCATTATAATATCCTCCAGATAGCCAACAACTGCATCGAACTCTGTGTCAGAAGGGGAGGAGCTGAAAGCAAAGAAAGGTGATACTGCATAAATATACATTTCAAGCACAGTAGAAATGAAAGTTAATATTAAAAAAGTGTTAACAAAAGCCTCAGCATGAATAAGCCCAGTAATTACAAGATAACTGAATAATTTCCTAATTTCAACCTATGAAATAATCCACGACACTGGTAAGACTGCTTCATGGGGATTCCCATCAGGTCTCTACTGTATTTTCCCCAGGTAGATTCCTATAAATGTTGTCTTACTGGCATTACTGTTAAGGTAATTCTAGTAAATCTACACCTGGATTTAAAAGGTGTAACTGGAACAGCAAATTAAGCATTTTCCAGCCCACAAATCCCAGCTGCTACCACAACCTTTCCTTCTGCTCTTTTCCCTGCGTAACTCTACACGGTGACCACAGAACTCCAGAAATTCTAGACAATCTTTTGAAATACTTGGTCTCATGGAACCCCTTAAACTCAATGTGTACACAAGTATTATATAACTGAAGAAATGTAAATATTTTTCTTATGGAAAAGACATCCCTACATGCCACAAATAAATGGCATAACCTCCTAAGGTCATTCTATCACGAGCAAACATTAAACATCATTACGGATCTGAAGTCATCCAGGAAAGAACCCTTTGGTACCAGCACTTCAGGACTTTGGATCCCCCTGCTAAATTTTATTATTGTGCCGCTTGTTCAGACACAACAGATAATCCACAAGATATCCTTGGCATTCACAGCTGATCTTTAGTGGGGGTGAACTCTTCCTATATTCTCCAGCACTTGAATGACAAGCTTTTCTCACACGAGGGAAACAAGTCTCATAGGACATTTGTCTTTAAGAAAAACAATAGCTTTGATCAGCAAAAGCAACGTTTAAATTAAAATTAAATGTCTCTCTCTTTCACATTTCTCCTTAGTAAACAGAGCACAATGCTCTTTCAGGCTAAATTTTAAAAAAATCATTAAAGTTATTTTGCTACTGAGTAATAGTCCAGTTAAATTAATCCAACAACAGTTTAACTACAACGAGCCATAGGGCTCATTCTCACCAGGAAAAATGAAAAAAAATACTTGACTTAAAAAGGCATCTGATCACCAAGCAACGTTCTAGCAACATTTCTGATCTGTTAAGCCTTGGGAGCTGAGCAAAGCCAAGCCAAGGGATGGAAAAGTGTGCTCTTCCACCAGAGGGCATGGCATGACCAGGGGAAGAGCTGGCACAGCACAGCCACAGCATTATGTACCCTGAGCATCACACTCAGGACTTCAGGCCACAGGGCTCACTCTGGCCATTTCCATGCAAAGACAGGAGACTTCAGAATCAAAGAATCCCAGAGTGGTTTGGGTTGGAAGGGACCTTAAAGCTCATCCAGTCCCAACCCCCCTGCCAGCAGCAGGGACACCTTCCACTAGACAAGGTTGCTCAAAGCCTCATCCAACCTTTGCTATGGATAATTTCCAATCCTTTTTTCCCCCCTCCAGAACAGTACTACTATTGGTTTTACAGCTTATTCTAACAGCAACAGAAAATTTAAAGCATTAATTTAAGCCCCAGTTTAAGCTTGTGAGACAAATAATGGAATTTGTTCCAAATTTTGTTCCAAAACAGCAGTGATTCCACCTCTCCTTATAACACACCTGCATCTGCACCCCTGAAGAAACACACGCTCACAGATCTTGTGGTTTAAGCTTTGTTGCCTCATCATGTCTAGTTTAGGCCAGCACAACCCGTGCTGCTGAGGCAGCCCAGGCACATGGCCATTTGTGACAGCCTGTAGACTGAAGAATTAAATCTATGAAGCGGAGTGACAGAAGCACAGGCACACGTCCCCTTCCGCCACGAGCTTTAGCAGAAGGGTATGCCAGAGAAATGTGGAGCAAAGCAGTGTCCTAGCATCTACCAGTGGAAAACTGGGTTGAGGCCACCTGTGAAAGGTCTCACATGTCTAGAAGGAGCACACTCAAACACAGAGGAACAGTCTCTTCTTAGAATCTGCAATATAAGACAACATATGCTCTTGAAAAGAAGAGAGAAATTTCGAATTTTAAATGAACACAACCCTCAAAGTTTTCAGCCTCACAGTGTTTATTTTCATCCCTCAGCCAGGTCTATCTGGTGCTCTGCTCATTGCAGTTATATTTAGTTTGACTTCACCTAAACTCTGAACTGATGTTATCCCCTCTTGGAGCTTTGCATTTTTCTGCACCCTTGTTCTTCTAAGAGGTAGGATCTGCTAATCACTGTGGTGTAAATTCAGTCAGGTAATTATATTCCTATTAGGATATTTTAACTAGTAATTAGCTTATTGAAGATCTGACACAGAACGTAGTGTACTCACATGGCTACAGCAAAGATTTCTTCCTCAGAAGTCTCCATCGTTAGTGCATAACCAGACTGGAGGAGAGGCAACCTGCTGTACTGCTGCTCTTAGCCGTTATTTCCTCTTCTCAGACAAAGTACTAAGGAATAATATATGACTTGGCATTAATACAAATTAAATGGTTAAATTGCCATGCACTTCTCAAACAGCAAATCAGGAATCTTGACTTTTCAGATGTAAAAATCATGTTCTTCCAAAGTTACTGCTACTTCTTTTCCGTAATAACCCAAATTGTCTAGGAACTTTCTCTGCCTCCTCAGAGAACAGGCTCAAAACCGCACACACCTGCAGTCGGTCTCTGCAAAGGGATTTTAGGTGACCTTTGTATCTTTTCTCCTGAAGCCTCTATGACTGACTGTTATAAAGACACAAGAAAATGAAGCCGAAGAAGATGGAGATGCCACCGGTGCACGGCCGCGAGCGCGCAGGCACCGGACAGTGACCCCAAGTGCCAGGCCAGGGGCTCCGGCCAGCGCTGGTCTGTGTCCTGGCCAAACAGCCCGTGGCCGTGCCGTTACCGGCCCGTGGCACAGGACAGCGCACCCAGCACCCGGGGCCGCTGGG